CACTCATCACTAGTTAAAATACCCAAAATGCACCAAACAACAATAAGTCTCTCAAGTTTTGAATCCGAACCCCACCATTTATCCAATATTAGTTCACAAAACACCATCCAACTTCTCATCACTCCCATTACGATCATCCACCATCAACAAAGACGACTCTTCCTCTTTCCCAACTTTCCCCATCTCCAAACTAGTCAATCTCATAGCCCTCACCGCTTCTCCTTCCCAATCCGTCTTCGCTAAAACCGCATACAATATTGAAACAACGCAAGCCGCTTGAGCCGATAGCAACCCAAACCACAACCCACTAAACCCGATTTTCAACCAAAACGCTAGTCCAACCGCAACAGGCGTCCCAACAAAATAAAACGAACCAAGATTCACATGTGCTCCAACCGCAGGCCGACCTGTCCCTCTTAAAACCCCGCAACCCGTGGTTTGTGGACAGTTCCCTAGCTCGCATAGCCCGACAATCGGCATGACCGAAGCAACCAACACCTTGAGTGGCTCGTAGTTAGTGAATAGTCCAGCCCAACGCTCTTTTAGCACCACGGTCCAAGCCACATTCAATGCTCCTATAACAAATGCGCAAGCTAGAGCCACGTTCGCGGCTAACCTCGCCTTGTACGGTCTACCCGCACCAAGCTCGTTCCCAACCTAGGAAAAAAATTAATGCAAAACCCAAAACCAAATCTTAAAAAAGTTAGTTATTGAAGCCAAACTTTTGTCACATGTGAAGGAAACAGAAAAGGACAAGTGGTTTCGATGAGGTTGAAAGAGTGTCATGAGATTGGCAACAATAAAATAGACCACACTTGACTACTCTCTTTTCAACTACTTATTTTATTTTTGTTTTTTAAGTTATGTAAATGTCCAATCACATACCACGGGGTGACCTATTAATGGAAGTTGATGCAATGTTATTTTCATCACATTGCACGTTTTTTATCCTCAATTTCTTTTTCTTTTTCGAAAAATGCTTTAATATATTTAAAAAAAAAAACAAATTACTCCAAACAAGTTACAAGAGCAATGATTTCGATTTTTCTTGAATAATGTTCTTCATTTCACTAGGGAACATAGAGCCTCCTAAATCATTAATATTGTCCTTGGAAATCACAGAATAAAACACACTTACAAGAACAAAAGTACATCAAATCTTTTATTGAATAACGTTATTTGCCTCTAAAAAATTGTTTTCTCACCTTCAACTTCCACGACTTTTAAATTTGATTTTTAAATCCTACAAATAATCAACCACCCTCTACCAACCAATCAAAAGCCAAGAAAAACAAAAAAACAAAGAGCTAAAAAAACGTTACATCTACACTGACATATTTTTTTGACAATTTCAAACCCAAATCAACTTAATCAAGTAGTTTATTTGACTCAAATATTGACCACTTAATCAAATCTTTAATAACTTAATCCAAAGAACAGAGAGATAAACACACGTACCCGCGCAGAGACGCATCCAGCTAAAGCCATAGGGACAGTATACATAAGACTCGTTGTCTGAATCAAAATCCCAGTCGCAGCAACCGCAAGTTTCGGATTTTCCAAGTAACCACCCATCACAGTCACAATCTCATACCACCACCACTCCAAACATATCCCTAAACAACTCGGAACGGCAACTCTCATCAACGGTCCTAACCCACCAACCAACTCAACCACACTCGACTGAGCCACAGCATTAGACTCACTCACTCTCTTCTCCATCCTCCCACTAAACCAAACATAACCAACCAAAAGCCCAACCATGATCAGATTCGTCACGACCGAAGCAGTAGCCACACCAGGAACACCCCAATGCTTCACCATCACAAGCCAATAATTCAACGGCACGTGGAACGCCACTGCTGCTAACGTGCACCACATCATCGGTTTCGTCACTCGTTGTGACCTTAAGTAAACACGTAACGGCTGAAGCAGAGTATTGGTCAAAAGATCGGGAAGTGCGTAGAGACAGTACTCTGCAGCTGTAGCGGTTATCTCCGGGTCTTGACCCATGAATAGCATGATGGGTCCGAGGTTGATCCATAGGAGACTGATGGGTACTGAAGCAATCAAGAGAATCACGACCATACGGTGAAGAGAGAGCGTGAGAAGGTCCCAGTTTTTGCTACCGTAGGCTTGGCTACATACTGGCTCGAGACCGGAGGCGAGTCCAACGAGGACTGAGTAGCCAGTGATGTTAGTGAATCCGATTGAGAGAGCTCCTCCGGCGAGCTCAAGGCTACCGAGACGGCCAAGGAAGAGGACGGAGACGACGGCTCGTACATAGACTAGACAGTTCATTGCTGTGATTGGTAAAACCATAGCCCAAAGCTCTTTTAGCTCTTCTATGACTTGAGGAAGAGTTGGGGTTTTGTGGGTAGAGAAATCGTCTGATTGGGTTTTGTCTTCCATTAAAAAAGGTTGGTTAATTTCGACTTTTTTTCAGAGATTTGATCAAACAGTAGGTAGGGAGCTTGATGAAACAGAGATAGAAGAAGCCATGGGAGGCAAAAAAGTTGCGAGCTTTACGGGTGAAACAGAGAAGGGGGAGATGAAGAAGACGTGAAACAGGGGAGCTAGAAAGGAAAGCGAAAGTAAGAAAAAAAAGGAAAGAAAGTAAAAATGCAGAACATAAAGATCTGTTCGTTTGTCTCCTGAAAGTGAAAGGAGGAAAGCTGCATTAAATAGAGGAGAAAGAGTTTAAAAAAAAAATTTCGACCCAAAAAATAATATAATATTATACAAGTGTGATTGGTGGCAACTCGGCGGATAAAAAGTTCGCCGGTTTTTATGCCACCGATCACCACAACGACAAAATATAAAAGATAAAAATAAACGG